TCTCTCTCTCTCTCTCTCTCTCTCTCTCTCTCTCTCTCTCTCTCTCTCTCTCTCTCTCTCTCTCTCTCTCACAGACACCCCACCCGACATGCACCCTCCCGACATGCACAAAAACGTGCGTTTTCTTTTCCCCCCCCTCTAAATTAAAATTTCCATTTCGAGTCAACATTAGGGACAGGGAAAACTTCAACAATACACCCGGATATCCTCAGTTCTACCGGGGGGGGGGGAAACTGCGTTTTCCTGAGAAGACAAACATATATTCTCCAGTCTGGGYGACCAGATTCATCCACAACTTTGCCTGGTGTGTGTTCCCGCATCGAATCCTGATTAAATAAAAGGAGGAAAAAAGAAATTAAAGAAAAGGATAAAACGTGCGTTTTCTCAAGAAGATAGCATACATATTCCTCAGCTCTACCCAGAAAAGAAAAAAAAAAAAAAAAATCCACCTCCCCACCATGCAGACGAAGTGTGAGACTCTGGTAGCGCCTGCGCGCGCGTGCACCACTGGTCAGGAATGCGCTCACTTGCAAACACCCGAGCGAGCTGTCGGTGGCCTATTTGCGAAACCGTTAACAGATCCCCTTGCAAAGGGATGTAAACTTGCAAGGCCGTTTGCATCCTCTTGGATGAAAACGGGCGACAGAACGAGGGATGGAGCTGTCGGTCAGTCAGCCGTTTGCGAGACCGTTAACAGATCCCCTTGGAAAGGGATGTAAACGGCAGGTACATGCTCACGCGATGCAAAGGGATGTAAGCGGCCATGCAGGTTCGCTCACTTCTTCACTCGAATACGAAGAAAGGTCATTATAGCTGTATGTATTTGGGGTATCTTTTAGTCTAAATACAGCAACAATGACCGCACGTTGAATTCGAGTGAAAAAGGTACGTATTCCAAACGGGCCATTTTTCTCCGTCACCGATTCTACCGTTAGCGGAGTCAACAAATGGAAGAGAGCAAAATCTCTTCCGTTTATTGGACACACACACACACACACACACACACACACACACACACACACACACACACACCACACCCCTCTCATCATCCAAAACTACCTCTACTTTTTTGTTTCATCCACACCCAATGAAGCCGAGAGAGAGAGAGAGAGAGAGAGAGAGAGAGAGAGAGAGAGAGAGAGAGAGAGAGAGAGAGAGAGAGAGAGACGGACCGGAAATTTTCGGCAGTCTTTAGAACGACATCCTTGTAAAGCTCCATGACGATTCGACCAGCAGGTTGCCCTCCAAGGGAGATATCGAAGAAGACCTGTGGGTTCGCCATCGCTATCCTCCTTCAGACCCTTTCCTGCACCAAGATGACCTTCGTCTGTCCTTGCTTGCGTCACTTCCTCCTTCCCTCCCTCCCCACCCTCCCTCCCTTTCTCTCATGCAAGCCCAGCAGTAACCAAGCTGATGATAGCCCACCTGGCCGCCCGGCGTTTCTTTGAGCGACTTTTCTTTGAGGAGACTTACCTCTCTCTCTCTCTCTCTCTCTCTCTCTCTCTCTCTCTCTCTCTCTCTCTCTCTCTCTCTCTCTCTCTCTCTCTCTCTCTC